CCAATAATTAGACAAAAGGTAACAATCGCTTGTAATTGTTGCCGCAGAAGGCGATCGAAATGCAGTGGCCCACCTTTCTGTTTACGCTGTAAACAGAATAACTTGAAATGTGAATTTATTACGCCGCGTAATAAACGTGGCCCTCCAAAAGGAGTGCCTAAAAAGAATCATGAACACCCGAAAAAAAGCGATCCAATAGAAGGCACCCAACCAAGATCGGGTGAGAACTTAATAACCTATCTTCTTATATGAGGTTTTTCTTTTTTTTTTATCAATTAATTTTACTGTACCATCCGAAATGGCAGAATTTGATAATATAACGACAAGTTATTTAATACCAAATATAATTATCCTTTCAGAGTCGACAATGCAAGTAAGTAATTGATTTCTGCGTAAATAAAATTTCACAAGGTGACCGGCATTAGACCCCATGAAAAATTTTAATCCTGCAAAACTTATGTGATGTAATTGGGCTTGTCTAATCCATTTTACAGCTGTTTTCAAAAAGGTGTAACCAGGTGCGCACCAGAATATCTTGATTCTCTTTGATTTCCCTTATTCGCAAAATCAGTGAAATCGGGATCTCACACAATATGGTGTATGTATGGTTACACCTTTTTGAAAACAGCTGTAACAAGTACTGTTGCATTTGGTAAAATTCTGCATATTACACTAGTGATTCTCAAAATCAAAGTTTGAGTTTCAATTAATATGGTGCAAGAAGCCTATACTCAACAGTTACACAAAGTGTTTTGTGCCAAATATCTTCAAAAAAATCTCATCATGGTAAAGAGTTGCATTTTAAAAATTGAAATTATATATATAAATTTATAAATTTACATATAAAATTTCAATTTTCAAAATGCATCAACTCTTTATAGTGATGAGATTTTAAAAAGATATTTGGCACATATGTAGAGCTAATATAACTCTATAAAGTTACCGGTCAGATTTTTTTAAAACCTCTTAGAAAAAAGTTAAAGCCATTTAAAAAATTGAAACACTTTGTGTAACTGTTGAGTATAGGCTTCTTGCACCATATTTAAAATATTTGAATATTTGATCTTAAAATATTTTAAGCTTTAAAAAAAATGGCTCGAAGATATCTCGACAGCCACTTGATCAAATATGATGAAAATTTTTTATCTAAATTCATCGAATTTGTCATATAGTTATCGAGTATCTTTGATCAAAGTTTTAGAAAACATTAAGATATTTGTTAAAGCTCGAAATATTCGGAGTTAATTATTTCAAATTTTGACTGAAATTCAAACTTTTTGAAGTATAATATACAGAATTCCATAATTATACTAAATATTCTGTATAATTCACTTTCATGGAGAGGCCAGGTCATTTTAAATGTTTTTCTGAACATTTTAATTAAAACATGAATAATATCTTCGACTTAAAATTCAGCAGTCACAAAAAATATCACGTGAAGATGGTTATACGTATTTGCATACGTATAATAATACTGGTAATCGATATTTCGATGCTTATAATCCTATTTTTTCTATTTATTCGCAATCATTAATGCCCTCTATTTTGTAGAATTAATCAAGTTAGATATATCCACGCTTTATGTGTAATACATAATCGATTTTTTCGGCTCGATTAATATTTTCGTTTACCATAATTTTAATATCGTATTTTGTTAATATATTATTCTCTAAAGAACTATTAAGCAATCGCGAATCTTCATATCGATAATGTCTCGATCTTTTTTAAGCCATTTTCTAAATATTGAATCTATGAAACTTGCTTACTGGCTTTATATAATTATTTATAAGATACTATAAGAGCAAAATATGTAATTTTCAATAAAATCTATGTATAAAAATTTCCCGGGAATTGATATCTATGTACGTACGTAAAAGCATGTCCAGACTCTGCAAATGCACTACCACATGCATTTAATAATGTACTTATCCGTCAGGAGATTTTGTGACACGAGAAAGCCAATTTCTGAATTGCTAAAAATTCGATAATATAATAATTATCATATGTTATTTTGGTAATTTCTCAACTTACCGAAACCCAACTACTCGAAAACCCCTTCTTGACAGAACGTTTTTCTAATGGTTTATTTCACCGACAGAAACTTTCACAGACTGCTTTTCCCGACATAACTGCTTCTCCAACAACCCGGGTACCTGCAAGAAGTTTGCTGACAGTCTTTTTCTTCGACAATGTTCTTTCCCGAATTCTTGTTTCTCCGACAAGAGTTTTTTCTGACACTTTTTATCGACAAATACCTTATGACATATTTCCCCGAAGGATATTTCCCCAAAAGGATATTTCCCTGAAATGATATCTTCTTGAAAAGATATCTTCCCGAAAAGATATCTTCCCGATTGAACAAAATTACGTAATTCTATTTTTACAATTTTTATCTAGATACCAGAACTGGTTTGATATATAATATTATGAAGTATTTTTATTAATAATAAAAATATAAAAATCATCTAAATAAACAAACTTATTCAGACAAAAATTATATTATTTTAGTAGATTTGTATTTAAATAAGTTTATTTAAAAAGATAGAATTATAATAATTTTTTTTTAATATGTTGTAGCATATATTTTTATTAATTATTATTTTTATTATATTAATTAATTAACAGGCACAAAACATGTTCTTTAGATTGTTGTTTACAATAAAATTATAAAAAAACATACCGTATATTACCGAATAGAAGCTACCAAAAAATTTTCGATTTTCTTCGATTTTCTTAGGCTAAACTGCAGG